CCTCAGGTGCCCCGTCATCCACAGACAGGCGACGATTTTATTTACACAATTCGAAACGATTTGTTTGGGTATTTATAAACATATTGCATGAAAACAATAAAACCTTATTTAATACATATTTGAAACAAGATTATCAAAATTCCCTCCATTCTGAATGATATTCAGAAGTCGGTGTGTAAGGTGATAAAGCTCCAAGACAATCGCCCTGAAGATTTACTTCTCTGTGAAGTTTGTGGAGTGCCATCGACTTTTGCGATGTTGAAGATAAAGTATTATCTCGTTACAATTGCATTGCTTGGATCCGACGACGTGATTATATAGAACGGTGGACGTAAATTTGCGACTGTATCTCTCGTTCGTTCGTGCGCGAGCGCTGAAGCATAGTCTCTCACGTGAACTCGACCGATTACCGGCGACAATTGGAATCGCGGCCGCCGTGGATCGCGAATGCATTAACCGGGTGAATGTAATTGACGAGTGCGCCACACGGTGATGAATCAGTGCCGGATCTCACGTGCCGCGCGGGCGCGCGACTCTCGAAGCGTAATGCGTGCTGCGACTGTGTCGTTACACGCGCCGCGGATACGATCGCGTAATCGCGAATCGAGGCGTGCAAACGATGGATCAACGAAGGGCTGTGAATACCGTCGATAAAGTTTTCCATTAACGTGGACACTCTGTGATTGACAAGGGAAGAACCCCAACTGTACCACTTCGATTTTGACCTAATTCCTTCACCTGGTTCCTAATGATGTTAAGTGAAATATTAGGTGTAGACACTGGATAATTTTTAAGATATGGTCAATTAACGTTACGAAACATTAAGATGTATTGTGAATGCAAGTCAAAGTAATTAAAGTTGCGTTGGATTGTCAAAGTCATCGAAGTTGCGAAGCAAGTACACGCATTTACTTTGCTGTTGTCGAGTATACTCGTCATGATTTAAATATAATTAAGCACACTGTGCTAAGCTACTTATGCCAGTGTGTGTGAACAGTATCGATCACGCGGTGTTATATGTTTTTGGCAATGTCTTGATACAAGGGGATGGTTGCAAAACAGTAACAGCGAGGAAAAACAGATAATGCATACCGTATTATCGTCAGTGTTTACAAGTAGAAACAGTGAGTAATACACAGACAACCCAGCTAGATCGTATTTAATGAATCGTCACTATCTCTCAGGATCGATCATGTTTTTTACACAAGGAAACTTTTGTCTTTTGGTTACATCGCCATTTGTGGCATATACAATAGTATGTCCTGTATAATATTAAATAAAGTGTTTCTATGGAGGATATGTTTTTCATTAAATCGATGAATTCATAAACTTTGGAACTGTTTATATTTAATATTTTGAATAATTGTGAAGCCATCGTTTTCAAAGTAGTTCCCTTGAGACTGTCCAATATTTTAAACCACTTGTTTTCGAAACTTTATCATGACTCATAAATTCCATACAATTGTTCATGTAACACGGAATTCAAACACGTCTTTTACGTGAACGAACTTGTACAATGCCTAGAACGATAGACAATATTTACCTTTCGCATGCAAATAGAGGGTTCAGTCAACAAAAGGGGGAACGTAACTGTTTACATCGTTGCCACTTTGACAGGAACGAAGTTATCCCCGAAACTTTATAGTCACACTGCGTATGTTCTACACTAAAGTCGGGACAGCGAGTGGCGAGAAGTTGGTCTACTCCCACCTCAATGACTATCACACATTCCCCCCTTCCATCTCATAGTGTTCACTTTGATGTCCTGCCATTGTATTCGCTAAGGAGAGGAAACATGTTGCTACTATGTAACTTTACTATTTTTCTTACATCGACAATTTTTTGTTCAATCGAGAAAACGTCACGTTTTCCATCAATCATTGCGTTTTCATTTAGCACTATTACTAGAACTACCAAAGTAGTCAGAACGACTGGTTGGAAATTCTTAGAACGATGATTAAGAGGTTATAATAATCTGTTTCTCTGATCCCTTATAACTTTTATCCCTATAAAAGTGCAAAGACTGGTCAATGTATAAATTTGTGTATTTTCAAATATTTTCACCGCTGGTAGTTCTAGTATTAACCCTTTGCGCTCCAACTACCAGTGTGTCTGGCACAGCAAATAAAGTCGATCTACTCCAATTTCCAGCTGTATTGTCGACACATTATCTTCTTTTATTTTACCTAAAAATTCTCGGAATAGACTACCTACAAGTGCCAAAAATGCATGGAGCACAAAGAATTAATACATGAACAGCCCAGAAGATGTGAACTAATTCCCACCTCTAGACACCATCAAGTAGAGAGGTGACGAATTTAGTCCCAATTTTAGCTCTTTCATTTTCGGTGAATTACGAGGCAAGCATTCCGTGAACGATATTATTTTCGATTTTCGACCCATTTTTTCGCGTAGAACCACCCTCGTTCGGGTTGCACCAGTCATAGTAGATCCTGTATAGTATAGAGTGTGCAGATGTAACGAAAGAACACTATACCCGGGTCAAGTTCCGCGTGGCAGCAGATCACCGACGGAGGCTAAAAGAGTGGTTCACCCAGGAAAAATAGGGGGGACCGTTGCATTTGTTCCCGTCAATCCGATCGCCGCGAAAACGGTTAGAATGCCGATCCAATTCTTCTAAGGAGATGGTCGGACAATGGAAAATATGTCAGCGGGAAGCCGCGGAAATTACTACGGCTCCGAATACCGTGGAAAAATTGATTTGTCCCCGAAAATAGGCCGACTCCCACAGCTGGAACGATAAATTCCGTGAGATATTCGTGGAATGCAAAGCGTTTGCGATAGTAGAGCCAGTGTTCTGCTCGATCATCGAGCTAAAACCTCCTCAATTTCTTGATCCAGCTATCGATCGGTTGATAGTTTGACTCGAAAACTGTGATCACTTGGAACCACAGATCTTTGATTATGTTACATATGATTGCATTTATTTGTGTTACGAAACAATACATTATTATGCATTGAATTATATAATGAGAATAAAAATCTTGTTACGTGCACGAGGCTTCTCAACACAAACGACGAGTTAATTCGTCTTCCTCGGTGAACAGGCTAAATTTCCGTTTCCAACCGGCTTGTAAGTGAAATTCAAGTTAAAGAGGCGTTCGCGAATGAACAAAATTGGACGACGACTTCGTAAACACCGGTAACGCGACGCAATTGCGTAATTAGCGGTCGAGTTTCACCTGGCAGTGGGCAAAAGTACCGAAAGCACTTTCATTTTCGATGTGTTCCGCCACCGTTCGCGATAATAACCGGCGAAACCCAACTGCTCGATGTCGATGTACTCTCGTCACGAAGCTGACGGTTCGTAAGGTCCCCAAAAGTATTGACTCTTTGTTCTTCGTAGAGGGAAACGCGGAACGACGATTTCTAGGACGCTGGAAATCGCCTCATTTCTGACATTCGAATTCGGCTTCGATCCACGGCGAAATTGAATTATTAATAAATTTCAAATTCCCGATAGAGAAGGACCCACTGCGTGGGTGCTGATACCGCAACGACCGCACATGCTACCCCTGCAAATCTGTCCAATCGAATTTCTCACGCGACCTGCAATCAACGGAGGATACATTGCTTTCCGATGTATATTCAGGTGCAAATTATTAAATTCGATTTCTGAAAAGATATATTGAATTGGAATCTCTCCATTTTGTTAAATATATGACGGTTTATTCACAGTACGGGGTAAACCAAAAGTCACTTTATTTGATGAAATGAAGCAAGGTATTAAGTAAAAAGTAACACTGATTTTGGATTATAATTAAACTTTTATATTTGATTCAGTTAATACAAAATCGTAAACTGACGAAATGACGGAAGATTGACAGAAGGGAACTATGAATCAGGACGAACTGACTGACTCCTAGACCATGGAATGTTATCTTTTTTTAAGCACTCAAACTTAGACGATACACTCCTGTGCATTCTTCGAATTCTACTCGTTTGAAATCTACTTTGAAGAGCCATACGAAAGTCTTCTGGTCCAGCCTAAATACATATCATTTACGTCCGACACTCGGATGTCTCTACATTCTATATTTCTTGTATCCCACATTAGTGTGTGACCTAAGAGGTTTACTAAATCTATAAATCAATAGAGAGTTTTATTAAATTAAGAATAGTACAAAGACTTCGTTAGACCTTGCAAAAATATTCATTTCACTGCGTTTTTCATCTTAACATTCAGATATCGATCATGTCCAATCTACATAGGATAAATAAGAAACCTTAAATAACATGAAGTGTTATTGATACTATTTATTGCATCAGAATAAAAGTAATATATTTAAAATTAAACGCTGATTAAACAAACGTAACAAATATTTCCTATAAGACAGTATTTGTTGGAAATCGGATACTATTCTGGTCGCAAGAATTGGAGTATCTTCTATTATACCTCCGTGTCCGTCATTACGACCTGTAATTCCTAGAATATATCTCATTTCTTCCGTTTTCCGCTTGGCCGACGAAATACAATTGCGCACAGTAGCGATCCTCTAATTGTCTCGAGCTATCTCTCCTGAAAGACACTATTGAATATAGCAATTTTCACATCTCTGTAGAATTGTCCATGCGATCTCGTTAAAAACAACTGACAGTATCAACATAAATCTTTTTTCTTTTTTTAAACCGTACTTTCTTTTCTATCATTCAAACGTAGTAATTACGCGAGCTGAAAGCGATAGTGGCGTCTATGATAATCGTTACGAGGACTTCGGAGTGATTATTAAATGTTTAGACTAATGAGAGAGCGATCGGTGCCGATCTCAGGCCGACACACCCAAGCCTGATATCCGCGATTGCGTAAAACGGTTGCGACGAGCGTAATTAAATATTTACACGGTGCTGTGCATTCAGGTACTACCTGGCCTCGCTCGCCGTAAAAGTATTAATAAGCTCGTTGGCGCGCGACATGTACACGTAATTGCCCCTGCGATCGACGACCGTGTATTGACCTTTTCCGTTTCATTCTGTTTCAGGGAAGAACCTCTACAATAACGAGCATGTAGCAATTAAAATGGTGAGTGCAGTGACATTAGTTCCTTTTCTTAGAACAAGAATCTTTAGATCGTTACTTGTTATTTGAGCATTTTCATACTATTTTCTTCTCTCAATCCCGGTTTCTATGGTGTTCTTCTTAGAGCCAGATTTTTAAAACAATTGCTGTACCTAGGCTACTATATTATTATTATTTATATTATTCTACTCCTAAATTCAGCTTATATTCTTGTTTTTTTTTTTTTTTCATTTGACACGTTGATTGGCCACGTTGTTGCTATTCTAAGAATATATTGGAATTGTTTTATGCTTGCTTTTTTTGTTAAGAATATAAGTATTTACATACTGGTTTGTACACTCGTTATTTGGATTGTTAGTTTTCGACTAATTATATTTAGTAGAACTAATTAGAGTCAGTAGTGACCGATATGGTAGTGTACGCGTTAACAAATTGTAACACGGTAGAGTCGCGATAACTGCTCGCTGGATAAGTACCTGTTAGTAGTGCCCCATGCTCACACGCGTTACTTACACACGCGCGCACCGCATTCTCTATCGCATTCTGCAGCCAATAATTGGTCGGATGACGTACTATTGGCTTTCGATAATTACTGATCCCTAGACTGCTCGCCTCTGGAGCTCCAAATGAAGGCAATTATCGCGGGTTTACTATACTTTGAGTCAGAATAAAATAAAAGATAAAAATATTGACAATTGATTTTCGCAATGTATCACTATCTAAAACTTTTAGTAAATTAAAATTGACGCGAAATGACTTTTACTGCGTTGACTACCATGATGGTCACTAATAGTCAGCGCCATTAAATTACGCGGACAATTTCTAAACGGGAACATTTAACATTTTATGAATATAATTCGCCAACAAACTAATAATTAGACTGCGGAATATTATGCAAAACGAAATTTTTTATAGTAATTCATAAGCCAAGAGCAAATATAGGAATCTCTTTCTCATTTTAACTCGCACACTGCATTTTTTCGGTATCCTGTATACATATTTTTATAAAATCAAAAACCAATATTACCAGACGTACGCACATCTAAATTGATTTTTCGTTTGTTTCCGCAGGAACCAATGAGGTCGAAGGCGCCACAGCTGCACTTAGAATATAGGTTTTACAAATTATTAGGTTCACACGGTGAGTATCCTCGTGACTCGTCTATACAATATCACAGAGAGCTGCGCACACCACGTTCAAACGTTTTCCATCTCGGTGCGAATTTACGTTTCTGACCCGTTTTATTCTCGTAAAATGCTCGCAGAGGGTATTCCGGAAGTGTATTACTTCGGCCCGTACGGGAAGTACAACGCCCTGGTGATGGAGCTTCTCGGGCCGAGCCTGGAGGACCTGTTCGACCTCTGCGGGAGGAGGTTTACCCTGAAGACCGTGCTGAATATCGCCACACAACTCGTAAGTGGAATTAATGCGCCAGTTTTACGCCCTGTCGCGTCGTCGTTTCGCGTTTACGCACTACCCCTGGGGGAACCGTGTCGGTTGTGTTTCGACAGGAGCGTTTCGATCACTTTGATCGCAGAGGAAGCCCCCGAGAGCCGAGATCGATCGGTACGCGATCGGTGATCGATCCACTCGAGCCATTCTACCGATTTATCGCTATAATTTCGGCTGAAACACGCGGTCTAATCTCTTCGAACATTTCAAAACGAAAACGACCTATCGAATTCGCTTCGAAGACGCTTTTGAAGAGCGGAATGAGAAATTAACGGTTGCACATAATGAACATTGCTCGCTCATTCCACGGTCTGACCGGTTTCACCATTTGCATTCGTTACCTAAATGCATTCAGTGGTCTGAATTCCATGCTCGGATGACTATCAGCCGCCTGTTATGATTCCCGTCGGCAAGAGATTCAATTGAAGATTCTGAAAGGGGACTAAATGTTATGTGTACAGTTCGACGGGTTTGGAGCACTAGCTTTATGAGGAATAATTGATGTTTTCTATTGTTAATGACTGTAAAGAAGTTTGTATGCAAAAACAGATTGAAAGATGTTTAAATTTTTTTCGTATTGGACTCTGTTTTCGAGAACATCGAATTTGGAAACTTATAATGTATTTCAGTACTATTTCACCTCGCTTCTTTTCTTCAATAATTCAGGTCACTATTTTCGTCTTCTCATGTATTACAAAGTTATGTAAAAAAAATTATTCTAATTTTTGAAACGCCTGCACCTATAAGATGTCATATTGTAATGTTCAAACTTACATTTAGAGGATTTCTCGGTAATACAGATAGTTTGTTTAAAGTAGATAGTTTCTTTAAGTTAGAATCTTTAAACAAATTCTGACTGTGGACTCTTCTTCGCAGCTCCATAGGATAGAGTACGTTCATAGTCGGCACCTGATCTATCGTGACATCAAGCCGGAGAACTTCCTGATAGGACGATGCACAACCAAACGGGAGAAGATCGTTCACATCATCGACTTCGGGCTGGCGAAAGAGTACATCGACCTGGAGACGAACAAACACATATCGTATCGAGAACACAAAAGCCTGACGGGCACGGCACGTTACATGAGCATCAACACTCACCTTGGAAAAGGTAATGTGACCGGTACAGCGTGGCGGACATCTTTGTTTACGTTTGTACCGCATGAATTAGGGGGAAGAAGAATCGTCAACAACCCGAGTTGCAACCTATTTGGTCGAAGCAGAGTTGCCTTGAAAGCAAAAAAAATCGGGTTCGACAACACAATCCTGGTAATTCGAACGGCCGATTTCTTTTTTTCCTACAATATCCAGATGTTGGATTCGTCATCGTGCCTTTGATTATTAATTCACAAGGGAACTTTGGTTACCTCGAAATTTTATATTTTATTTGAAAATTTTGCAGGTTTGTAAAGGACTTTAATAAAAACATCGGGAAATTTTTGGTTGCTACTTTTTGGTTCTTCACGGTGAAAGCACGCTTTAACACATTCACAGAGAACTTTCCATTCACGTTGCGTCGGTCATTGGTGACCGACATTTAATACGAATACAAATGTAATATAATACTGTCGGCGTGAACAGAAAGTCAGTCGAAATAGGCACTGTGGTGAACGTATAAAGATTATGTGCGTTTCCCTATTTCTTTTTTTTTTTGTATATTGGCCTTTTATGTTCTATAAAACTGTGCAATGAAATTAGTGGAACAGTTATTTAACTTTTCGGCAACTGTACACCACTATAGTAGTTTCCCGATAGGCCATCTTTTGGAACAATATGTCACTATGTATAGTGGTTTTCCACTAAGTGACACTTTTGAACGATACTCCGTAGTTTAAAAAGTTAAATAAATGAATACGATACTACAATTGTGGTCCCTTACAAACCTGTGAAATTTAAAAAAATCGAACTTTTCCGGAAAGTATCGCCTGAAGAACGATGACATCGGACTCGATCTCTGATACGGTACCCTATCGATCGATCGATTTCTTTCTCTCCTATAATAACGTCTCCAGGACTCGACGGGTCACACGACGATGATCTCCACGTTGGATTGGCCGCGTGAACCAGCGGACGGCCACTGGAGAAAGTTGAAGCTGAATCCGTCGAGTCCGTCGTCCGCGATTCCCCCCGCCTGGCCAAGCGTTTCTCCCCGGTAATTCAATCGTGGCGAATCGTTGTGTCAACCAGAGGAAGAAAAACGAGAATCATGGTCCCGGGGTCTGTTACGCGACTCTGTTAACGCGGCTCGATCAAGGGCGGAAAAAAATTCCGCGCGTGCCTAAGCGAAAAACGCTGTCCAGATTTGGGATCGAGCCTCCACGCTCCCACGTTTGCGCCCCTGCTGAACACTTAATGCTTAATATAGTCTTTGGTTCACTGGGACAAGTGGATTCCTTTTATCGAGCTATGGGCATGTAAATTATACGGAATGTTTTGAAATTGGATAAGCAAATAATTACGATGTCCTAGGAAATATCACGCATTTGCAACTCTGGTTTGTTAGTTTTTTTATTGTTACATTCAAAGTGTTCTTCGCTATGATTTATTATCTTGCATCGTTCAGCGAGGGCTTCTGTTTCTTTGATGTATAATAAACAGAATGGGGATAGGAAATATAATACAGAACGATTACATTTAGTGACACTTTTTTAGGGTATCGTTGTGGTATTATAGACCTTAAGGGTACATTCTAGTGTAAACGCTGTAAAAAAAACTTTATTAGGATTTTTGTAAAATAAAACTATAATATATCTCTATCCGAGATTTATTAATATACATTTTAAGATATAAAGCATTTTTTTTATGTTAGTTTATTTAATATATACCGCAAAAACCAGCAATGACTGTGACGTTAAAAAAGGCGGATGCCCAAACGGTGTACCTAAAATCTCAAGATCCGATCATCTAAAATCAAAACACCAGTTTCTTGTTTCATGAAAATATTACCTATTATTGGAACACCTTTATAAAACCAGGTAGCAATCACCGAATTTGCATTATTTTTCAATAAAAGTGCTTGATACAATAACCATCCTTATAAGTTTAAGAAAAACTTCGGTCCTTCTTATTGTAGATGAGTGGATCTCGCGATTTTAGGTACACCGTTTGTGCATCCGTTTTTTACAGTCATTGCTGGCATTTGCAGTACACATTAAACAAAATAACATAATAAACATTACTCCTATCTTAAAATGTATATTAACAGACCCTAGACTGATTTATAGTTTTCTTTTGCGAAAATGAAACCGTTTTTCACAGTGTTTACACCAAAATATATCCTTAAGGCCCCGCGAAGACTTCGTGGTGCCTCTCCGTGTAAGACCGCGGAACCGACTGTGAAATTTTCTTCTTTCCGGTGTACAGAGCAGAGCAGAAGGGACGACCTGGAGGCGTTGGGGCACATGTTCATGTACTTCCTGCGGGGCAGCCTGCCCTGGCAGGGCCTGAAAGCAGACACGCTCAAGGAACGGTACCAGAAGATCGGCGAGACGAAAAGGAACACGCCGATCGAGGTGCTGTGCGACGGTCATCCGGAAGAGATGGCCACGTACCTACGTTACGTACGCCGGCTGGACTTCTTCGAGACGCCGGACTACGAGTACCTGAGGAACCTGTTCCAGGGCCTCTACGAGAAACGGGGCTTCGTGAACGACGGCGAGTTCGATTGGACCGGCAAGACGATGGTGCGTGACCCATTGAACAAGTGAATCCCGTCACAGACCTATGATTCACAGTTTACATCCCCCCCCCCCCACGTCGCAAATGCATGCAAGAGATGGAAGAAAGAATATATTTTCCATGTGACGGCCGTTTATACACAGGGACGAATCGCAATGGGGCCGAAAGTGGCCGCGATCGAGGCGGGCTACGCGTTGGAATTTCCATTTTGTCGGTTTCTTTAACGATTTCCATTCCGCGGTTTACGAATTGTATCGTGCCTGTCGAGGTTTGTTATTCGCCCGATTAAAATTAAAAGATTCTTTTCCATCGATGACACAGCGGTCTTTTGCGTATCCGTGCGACGGTGCTTCGTGAATTATGTTGCCACCGGGGCTGGTGATTGCCCGAACATCGCCAGACTTCGTGGGATGTGGATTGTTTTATGAGTAGAGATGTAACTATCTAAGCGTTCTTCTATAGAGATTGAGATTCGTGTTTTGAACTTATTTTAGCTTTTGTAATAATTCTAGGAGATTTGGAAGTTTTTGTGCCATAATATAATTCGTTGGTTTATTGATTTTTAAAAGTTGAACGTCATCAAAGTAACAAATTCTTTGGATGTATGTTTAATAGCTCTTTTCGTGCCTGAACTATTTTCATATTAAGTTCCTTAATCATTTCGAAAACTTATGGTTACTTCAATAATGTGACAGATAAACACTTTGATTTAAAACGAATAGATGGCTGGGTTTATCCACTCGGTAACACTAGAAGGACCGGAATTTCTATCCGAAAGGACCATTCTGATAATTTTTAGCTACATTGTACATATGTCACTTGATTCCTATTACTTTCAAAATGTTTCTTTTGTGTATTATTTTAATCTATGTTCATTTACAGTAAATCATCGATGAGTGGTCGAAGGCTCCTCGGCACTGACTGTTCAGATGTCATCCCCATCACTGATGACGGCGCCTGAACACTCAGTACCAAGAACCTTCGAACTCTCATCGCTAATTTACTGTATACGTATTCCAAATTTTGTAGCATCTCGAAAGCAAAAGTAATAAGCAGTGGGTACATGGTACAAAAAGGGTAGAATGTTTACTAAAAGTGGGTGGTTTCAGCCCTAATAGTCCTTCTATTATTAAGTTTATAAATAAAAACTAGCATGCGTTCAACAGTCCTGGTAGCGAACACAATTCACCATGCCCGATTCTGTCGTTCATCTTATTGTCTTTGCATTATTCTCGTTTAAACTCCGTGGTGTACCATCTTATTTCGAGGTAAGTAAAGCCGGCGTGAGTCTTCCTATCCGCCGTCGTCCCGCCGTCGTCAATCCGGTAAAACCGTGTTTCACTGATTTTTAACGTTTGCATGCTGCCCCCAATGTACCTCTAGCCATCCAACTACGAACAGCTTAGAGTTCTGCGGAACGCTCCGCCTTCCGACATTGGGAAAACGAAATCGGACAAGGTGGGTGACGTTAAGGGAAGCCACGCGGTTGTTTTCCCTGTCACTTTCCGTTTAATGGTAAATGGGACGCCGACGTTTAATACGCTCGATCCTTTGGAAACAAAACGTACTCTGCCGTTAAAGAGTCGCTCGTAAAATACACGGAAGGACACTTGGTAGACCTGTTGACTATATTATATTCTCTAGTGTAACAATTTTGCTACTTTCTCGAACAATTTTTATGAGCAAAGTTATGCTCACTTCTTACTTTGTGCTTCATTCCTCTGTTCTTACTTTGTTAACACATCCGCAGCCGTTGACGCGTAATCACGTCGTTTTATAATCTATGACTGGATACCGCGGATATACCGTTACAGTGGTGGTTCGAGGAACGTTTAAAATACATACATATTTCTGTAAATATAGATTTATTAGTTTGCATTAGGCTATGAATATCATTTTTATGTAATTGATCTTCCTTGGAAGAACGCATTCAGTCTCTCTATCTGTTTATTTATTCGTAGAAAATGTGACGAAGAGAATTTTTTATGTCAACTTAATATTCTTCATGTTTAAAGATTGTGTGTACTGACATGTGAATTAACAGTGGAAACATTTCTTTGAGATTCAAACACTAAGTAGTTACACACCTGATATTTTAGAGCAGACCTTGTAAATTTCAATTCTGTTTCGTTAATAAGAGAATACTGTATTATAGAAAAGTGATAGATGTGAAATAAATACCGGCTGCAAATGTGTTAAAAGGTATGTACCTTGTGTCAACGTCTCGAGAAACAGACACGTCTCTTTTTCTGCAGACGTCGAAGATAGGATCCTCTTTTTCCGTGCTCTCAAATGCAATTACATTGAAACGTGTCTGTGAAATTAAAACTCATACTATTTTTATTTATTGCTAGATAAATCTTAAAACATACCAAACTTTAAATAATATCCGTTCATATTCATTGTCTCGGAAAATCAAGTATTACTTAGAAGGTTCAAGAAATAATTCCCATCTGATCCGATCTTCGACGTCCAATCAGTTCCGTACATCTATGATAATCTGGATGCTAACGTGTAACAATCTCTTCTCCCTTTTGTTCCGCTTTAGAACGCTCGGATTCCTCGATCGATCCCCACCCACCTAGACGATAATTTTCACAGGCTCCAGTTTAATCGACTTAATTGGATGCTTTCTGTTTGCAGACGACATTTAATCGTATATGTCCATACATATATCGTGTAAATTAATATCCGTTCACTTTAACGAGACCATAGATTATAATTCCCATCCAGTTCGAAGAGCAGTGTCCGAAAACTATAATATATCGTCAAACGTTACTGCCGACATAACGTGTAAAACGTATCGTTTCATTCGTGATTCCAAGTATGTTATTACGAAAAGAAAATTCGTCTATTATATACATATACATATATGTAGAGAGAATCCCTACGTCGTGTATCACCGTGCTCGATATAACGTTTCCCTTCATTCTTTTTCCAGTCCACGCCCGTTGGATCGTTGCAGACCGGACAGGAGATCATCGTGTCGCCGAGTCGCGATCGGCATCCGTACAAGGTACGAATCCCGTGTCCAGTTTTCGTACACGTGTCATGTATTCTTTCAATCTGAACAGAGCATGGATGTATAAAGCTTTATTTAACTACTCCGAATAACCGCATGAACACGTAACCGGGATAGAGTTTTTCTATTTTCTTCCTATTCTTTTTTTTTTCTTGTCGAGTAACTTCAGTGTAAAAGACTGATATAACATCGGAAAACACGGTTTAAACGGGATATCGAGAAGTTGATTGTTCACATCCCGAGTGTCCAGACAGTTAAATAAACCGATTTTGTTTCTTTGCGAAATCACACGGATATCCTCGGTGTATAGGAATGCGATGATTTTGAGGAGGATGTAGTCCTCATGGCGGATGAGGTTCACATCGAAATGCAGGGCAACTATGTAAGCCATCAAAATTTTTGTAAGTCGCGCGCTGACTCCTGCTTCTTCGTGCATGCGTGTTATCTTGTCGACGATTCATCTGTAAATGGAGTAATACCTCGAGGCTCGCTGGTCCTCTAGATGTTCAAGTGTAATAATTAATCATTTTCTAAAAGAACAATTATTAAATTCTGTAGCTTGACACCATATACGAAGAAGCGTCGTAGAAACAGACAGTATTTTAGCTCTTTGTTGCGAGTCCTCTAGCGTTTCGTACATTATCAGAGTACATCTTGCAGTAGTTAGTTCCGTAGCCTACCAGCAATTTAGGTATCTCATTGAAACTTCGCTCATGATCGCGTCGATATCGTATTTAACAAGTAGTGATAATGATCGCGCCGTATCGAGTCGGGCAAACATTCGGTAAATTTAATTCACAATCGACAGTGTACATATTTGCTTAGACAGTCGCGAATCGGAATATTTTTGCAAGAGGTCTTTCTCTCTCTCTCTTCGTTCATTAGCTAGCGTACTTTTTTTCATGTTTTTTTTTTCTCTTTCTTCTTATTGGCTAACGCGTTCAAATTTCGCAATTCTCGTGCTTGTTCCTTTAGGATGTGACAGCACCAGGGGTGGGAGGCGGGGGCGGTAAGGGGGTGGGAACCACGTGGCCGGATACTGTGAAGCAATCAGGAGCCGGTGGTACATTGACACCCGCTGATAGGCACGGTTCAGTACAGGTGAGTGGACCTACGCGATCCCTTGTGCCGTTCATTGTCCGCCGACGTCCGTCTGTCCGATGTCCTTTCCCCTCTTTTCATGCTCGTGACGGATCACGGGATCCATTTCGTTCAAACGGAAGCTCGAGACGCGATGTACAAAGACAAACTCGCTGGAAACATTGAGTTTTTATGCATCTGGTGCCATAGATTCGTGGCTCATGAGAGGAACGCGATCCTTTCCACCTTTCTAGAGCTACGGAAGCACGTGGAACAGGAAATTTATGTTCCCCTTGCGTAATGGGAATCTATGGAATCGAATGTATACCCTGACAAATTAGGAAAGATGATCCCTGAGGTGTTGACTTATAAGTATATTCAGCATAAGGCAGTAGAAAATTTGTCAAATGTATTGAAATTCAGTGTATTTTTATTTAATTGTCATCTTTTTTGAACCATTTTGTAACGAATGAGTGTCAATGATGGGTCTATGTTCATTAACACGTACCAGACTGTATCAATCCCTGTCTGTGTATGTTTGAAACCTTTGTGAGTTACTTTGAAACATAAAAACAATATTTGTACGGTATGTACTGTTCACTTCAATAATAACCTTAGATGTTCTCTCTCTTTTTTTTAAAGAAGTTATAGGTAATATGAAAGAAAAAGGTTTCTGATTTTGTATTTATATTGCTTTACATATTTGATTAGGAACAGAAACAATTATTTCAGATATCGATCACAGAGAGTACTAGCATCGTAGCAGTTACATGCGAAACTTTTAATACTTTCCGTCCAGATGTTGATATATCGACGGTAGTATCATTTCCATTACTATCCATCACTACCGAGTATCAACAAGAGAACTGAAACCGATAGAAGTGCTGTTGACCCCACCGAAGAGATCGTTTTTCACTTGTCAAGCTGTAAATTACGTTACCGATTACTTCATCATAACTGGTTCCGTTTGCTACCGAAGAATTTTTCGAATCTATTTATTATCGAATAAAAAGGTCAAAAAATCGTCGGATATGACTATCTATGAAACTTTCCTCCTCCGATTTCACTCTTGTTTCCTTCGTTCCCGACTTTCTCAGCCCGGAAGATGACGCACGAACGCGTCCGGAACAGTTATACTGACTGTTCGCTCTATTTTCTAGGCGAATCGCCAATGGATTATGGTCAGTCAGAAGTTTTCGAGTTGGTTTGCCGTAGCATGTTGACTTTTGTTTCGTTGATCGGCTTACATCCGACTGTTTACCGCCACTAATCCAGACCGTTGAACGCGTCTTCCGTCAAGCGGGAGATGCAAAAAAATCATCGTGACCCGCGAGAGCCGTGTGTCTTTATTTGTTTTTTTTTTTTATACATCGAGAGTGACTTGTTCCACTGAGTTAATTAGTTATATCACGTCTTAAAGTTTTCACTTCGTTTGTATTAAAGAACGTCACATGAATATGTACCGTCGCTTTGTTTTCACGTAAATTACGATCTTGTGTCCCGTCGATGTAGAGACTCGTTGTATATGTGTATATCTCCACGTAAATGCGTGTATTCATTGTGCACCTTCGTGTTGTGTAGTCAGTATCCCCAACCGTGTTCCACACATAGTGCTTTTTTTTTTTTAAATCGTATCACGGTGTACAGAATCCCATCGATTGTAAACGTTCTCCAGTAATTGAAAGTAGTCTCTCCGTTCTATATGTGATCTATCCACGTGGATCGTCGGAGGATTTTTCTCACAATGGCATCGTTGTATCTGTAGGTGGTGTCCTCGACGAACGGGGAGCTGGCGAACGACGATCCGACCGCAGGACACTCGAACACACCGATCACAGCGCCGCAAGAAGTGGACATGGTCGACGAAACCAAGTTAGTATTAATTGATCTGTTATTACTCCTTTGTACACGATCCATTCGATCGGTAGAACATGTAAAATTCATATGCACAGATGTGTGTTCGTCTCTTTCACAAATGACTTTACTATATTCTTATTTTTAACGAACAAGATACACTGGTGATCCTTTCGTGTGTAGTTACACCTTTGGAGAAATTATATTAACCTTTCGACAATATTGTACAGTTACATTAATTTGGAACTGAAAGAATTTACACTGCTGCTCACGGAGCAATAATAATTTCTCGAAAAGGACACAGCTTACACCCGAGAGTTTCAACAGTATGACGCTGGGCTGTGAAAGCTTTAAAGTCTTTGATTAGAATAAATAACTGTTAAAGTAAGTAAGATTTGTAACTAATACTCGGTTTGTCCATAAAGTTCCCGCAGTGATTGACGCAAAGTCATGGTTTTAAGGTGTAAGTGGTTGCACGCGGCAGCCATCTTTCTTTACGTTGTATGACTAAGGAGAAGAAACTTAATTGGCTTCTTACTAACTTAGATAAAGTAGCTTATTGTTAGTTGGTCAAAGCAGTCGGCTCGACAAGCTGAAGATCTCAGGTTCGATTCCCGATCGTAAACCCAATCAATTGTGGTGAAATCTATTGCTATACAGAGTATATATTACATTCTTATTATTATACTATATAAGAATAAAGAATATAAAATTATACAATTAAGCTATGTCATCTTACTTTGTACATTTATTTCTTGGAGGGTTCTAAGATCTTCCAATATCAATAGTATTGTAAACTTTACAAATATCATGGGTTATTTGCTGTAAATGTTCTAATTAACATTAATTGCTCGCTGATAACGAAGTAGATCTAAAGAAAACAGTTCCTGTACATTGAAAATGATAAACAGTACGTAATACAGTCGTTAGCCAACAGACATCATTGCTAAAATTTTTTTTTTCATAAAAAATCATTTCGGGAACGTTTTGGAAAAACTGTGTATTATGTAAATATTGCATGTATATGTATTCTCTGTTTATTGACAATTCTTACCGTAAACGAACATAACTTACAACATTTTACACTAATATGGTAGAAAAGTAGTAATAATTCTATTATATTGGGGCAGAAAATATTAAATGCTCAAGGTTAGTGGGCGTGGCCACCCTCACTGTATAGATTGACCACGCCCATTTTATGTATTCTCATATTATGTACGCCCATCCTATGTATAGAGGTCATAAAGGAAGATGTGACCTTGAACAGAAAATATTTTCTGCGCCTAATACAACAACTCTGTCTCAGTACTGTTTTTATACTCTTAACTCGAAACTTCTGCGTGATACATGTTAAATCTCCTATCTATCCTATCTATTTCAGAATCAAATCATTGTCAACAAAAAAGTGTTGTCGTCTATGCGGAAAGAGCCTACGCCGAAGTTCGCACACTCTCACGTCCACTGTTGATCCCAGACCGATCCCTGAACTTGGCTCACTAACACAGTATAAGTGGCCGTTACAGAATTTCCTTCTATCTAACATAAGAACAAAATATAATATTCCATGAACATTAAATATACTCTCTCACTTGATCAGCTATACGAATTGGATTCAATACAATATTGTGTTAAATTTCTTGTATACATGAGAGCAAAAATTTCTATGCCTATGCGATTTAAAAACTGTAAGCCGAATTGTCATGTGAGCCCCTGGCCAGTCAAAATGATCAATCTCACTCTCTATAAGATAACTAAGTTATGTTCTGTGTAGTTGTTCAAAGATTTAAAACTAGATTTTAAAAAAGTAGCATTTATAATACTACTTTCTTTTTTTTTTATTTTCTGGAGTTGATCAGTTTGGCTCCCAAGTCTCATACGACGAATCACACGTGTCATTTAACGATGAGAGCTTCCCGTAACAAGTACAAAAATCACCTGTCGGCCATAGATCAAGGCCATTTTACAAGACCCAATGGTATCCTTTCCGTTCGAAATATTAATCCAAACATCATCACCTCCATTCTATTTTATTCTTCTCGACACGCACGACTCACGTATCGACTCTGCATCTGGAACACAACGCCTCTAAGCCATCCTAGGCAGTCGGTTTCTGAAAGACAAGCTTCCTGGAATGCATCCTACCCCCATTCTCTTGTCGTGCCTGCATGTTGGTGTCCTAGCATAAGACGATCGAAAGAAGATGACTCTAAGTCCTATTAGTGTTGGTTTTTTTTACAGATGCTGTTGCTTCTTCAAGCGGAAGAAGAAGAAAAGTGGAAGGCAAAAGTGACTGTCTGTTAACGTCGGTCTTGGGGGGGCAGTACAGTGCGCGTGTAACAGTGCGGATCAAGTCCATGGGGAGGAGCGTTTCGCCGCGGCGGCGGTGCGAATCGGTAAACCAGACGGGAGGAGAGGTAAGAGGAGAAGGATCATCCGCGTGGCCAGAGGAGACGGGTCCGATCCGGGAAGGAAGAAGAGGCCCGTTAACCTGCTACGCGCCGGAAGTTGGTCCGTTCTTCGTGATTCGGTGGTGCACACCACGATGACACGGTGTAGCTGCCGCTATCGAATTCAACCACCACAGAGCCATCATTATTACAGCTATTATTATTACTTATTATTATTATTATTATTATCGTCTATGATTATCATTGTCATCTTGTTTACGATCATCGTTTATTGGAAATCAACATCGTTTGTCAGACGCCGATGTTACACATTTCTACACTTGTAACCCTCGTGTTACCCATTTGACTGAGGACTTAACGTCGGGCGCCCGGCACACCGGGACCGACCACGTTCGGTACACCGGCGAATTATCTCGGTGTCCGCCCCCCGAGCAACCCTGCCACGCGTTACACAAGTTAATGGAATTGACGTGCCGATGGTGAAAGAACGCGTTTGTGCCTACGACACACCCATACACATACACGACATACACGCTCATTATTAAGTCATATAAAACGCCGGCTTTGCCGATCGACCGGGCGAACAGAGTCATCGCCGATCACTGCGACATGTGTGTTACGATACGTGTATTAAATCGTAAATTGAATTGAAGCTGAGATCTCATTTCACTTGTAACAGTCCTGGATTATCGAGCGCGAACGCGCGCGCCCGCGTACTTCCGCTTTTGTCGAGGTCCGAACCCACGCTCGTCTCCAACCCCGATCGGGCTGGAAAGGCATGAAACTGAAAGGACAAGTTCGCTGTATATATCCATCGAGCTGGCCAAAGGTGTTAACTTAATTTCTGATTTCGTAATTGGGAAGCTTCATCGTAAAATGTTCGTGAATTTCATTCATTTAGGTATTATTCCTGTTGAATCCTCTTCAAATTATATAAAACCAATCCATCTGACGACTCTTACCAACAGAAGATTATTCGTTTTCTTTTTTAAGTTCTCGTTGTGGGCCACAGGAAAAAAAAGCGAATATGTAGCAGTATTAACGCTATCCCGTGAATGTGGACGCGAGAATTATGCTCATTGTAACCTTAGTTGATTTATTTTTATTTTTCACGACGATTACTTTTATGCCTACACTGCCTACCGTCGCTCTATACAGAGTGCCCTTGAACTTTAAAGCCATTCAGTGCCAACATGTTGCATAAGTGGGAATAAGAAAAGTTTGTTTCCATTGAAACGTTATGATAGAAACGTTAAGTGTGCGGGAAACAATAACCGTAATAGGGGAGAGCAACCCATTATGAAAGACTTTTTGTATTAGAACTTTTTAACCTGTACAACGTTGCTTTCTTATTTTTACGTATGAAGCGTAGTGGCACAGCGTGGCCGGAGAATCCTGAAACACCTTATACAAATATGCGTTTATGATGACACACATTGCACTGTACATAATGTATCAGAAAGTATTTTGCTACGGAGCTGCTATATACCTTACGCCGAATGTGCGACACGTTTTAGTTAATTGTACATTGTTTCGTAATGTTTCGTACTGTTTCGAAGCCGAAGTTGATGTTTGTAATATCCGTAGAGAAAAGAAATAAAAAGAAACACCAAACGGAACGATTTCGGTTTCATGCCTTCCATATGATGCTACCGTGAGCGCAATACGTCGCCGAGTCCAAACACTCCGTTTCACATAACATATCGAAAAGGAAGAAGCACGTAAGAATTTCTTGTCCGTAGAATGTACGCCATGAACAAATTTTCTAGGGCGTAAATCGTGAAATAATATACATGTACCGATACCGTTCATTCGTGTTCTACCAAAACGCGTGGATCCGGGATCTTATTTATCGAATGGATCCCGCTAGTTTCGATGAAAATCTTCTTCATAATTTTTTTTTCATCTTTCAAGCACCAATCATGAGCGTAAACGAAAAAAGAGAACCAAAGTACATATATATATATGTACATATATATATATATATACAACATGCCTGTAATTGATCGCGCGTCAATAATATAGGACTGATTTTCGAAACCGTCTGAGTTTAAACGTCGCAAACGAAAACAGAATTCTCTTCCGAACGGGAATCGCTGATCAAACTAGCTCGATGCGAGTAAAACATTGGACATAAAGACAGAGATACACAAAATAGCGTAAAAATGAAAACCACGAATGTAGTACTGTGAACTTTGTGGAGAACTGTGCCCGATGACTTGTTTAATACGTTATTTCCATGCAGTTAGACGAAGAAGAGCGTTACGAAGTGGTATACATTTATATATGTATATATGATACGTATGAAAATGCATTCAAGCAATGACGAGAGATACTTAAAATACGCGCGCACTCGATGACGGCGAAGGAGTAAAAGGATCTTGTTGGCCCAGGCCGATTAAACAAGCAAGTTTCAGTAGGCGTTGTTTCTCGAAGCGTCGAGCGTTTTGTTACAAAGTTCGCCTCCGGCGCAGAAAGTTAAACATAATCTTTCGCGAGCATCTTCTTCGGTCCCCCGTATCACCCGTTCATTCGCAGACTGATCATCGATAATATCGTTCGAGCACGCGTTAATCATCATTTCATTCTCATTTCGAAATTAGACGGAATTTCCTAGCGGTACATATTACGACACGCATCAACACACAGAGAACACGATTGTAGATATTAAGATAAAGAATTCCCCGGATACGCGGAAATTTTCCCATCGAGACGTTCTTTCGTTCTTCGTTGAGCTGTCTCCTCTCCATAAAGGAAGGGAATTACATACACATTACACACACACACACACACACATACACGCGCGCGCACACGAAGAAGGATAGATTTTCTAAACATGTCCGTTATCTTTAAATATTACCACTAAACATTGTATTACGCGTAGGTGTACAAGAAAGTTACTGTTCGAAAGTAAACACATGTATCGCCGTAAGTGTATCAGTAGTTGCAGGAGTAAATATGCTATCGTTAAATTGATAGAGGGCAATAACGATAACAAGTCGGGAAACTGTCGCTGTAACGCATCACGTTAGATAATATTGTTGACCGATAATAAAAGAAAAATGAAGAAGACGAGAAGGACGGAAGAGATTAGAGACGTTAGTCGATGTGTATAAATCTTTCATCCTAGAATAACAATCTTTGTTCATGGGGAAGATACTCTAGACTGCGAGCAGAAATTTGTAACAAAACGGCCAGTCGATTAAAGTCGACGCCAATGACGATGTTGGTCACTAAACACTATCAAGGAAATTGATTCTACTATTATATTGTACACAACGTCTCCTTCCATACAATAGCGGTTAACTCTCAAAACTTTAAAGCACTGTTCGGTCTTTAACGAATAGAAACTGTTTAGTTCGTTGTCTAGCCTCTGACGATGCCTTGGGTTTCTACTATATTACGTTAACGAAACGAGCCATATACGTGCTAAGTCCTTGCCGTAGATGAATGTGAAGGTTAGCTCAATATAAGAAGTTTGGCCCGTGTCAGGAATCCAAATATTCCACGAGTAAATAACATCAGTTGACAAGGGTCTAACAACGAGCGCATAAATATTTTCAGTGAAACAAGTGTACCTGTGTACACACAGAACAGCTTCATTTATTCAAAGAGCGAAGAGTGCTTTAGATTTCCGAGCAGCAGTGCTCAGCACAGACTCATAGTGAAAGCGACGTTAAGTGGCCAGTCGATTTGGTCTCGACTTTAGTCTGTTTAATCGGCTAGTCAGCACAGATGTTTTTCTTCTTGCAGAAGTATATTATACGGGCGGTGTAAGCGAACAGAGAGCCGACTGGTTCACGCGCGGAGACGACGAGCGCCACGTTTAGGTTCGTTGTGTCCGATGGTCCGAAATTTTACTAGTCTGGCTGAGAAATTGCGTATACCATTTTCCCCCCCTCGAGCCATGGCAGTGTACCGTGTTAGCGTACCGTGAGTGCCCATTACACGTAGTATCTGCTATTTAAATGGCCAAGCACATCCGACGACAGAAAACAATCCCTGACGTTATGTACTTATCGAACACAAAAGAGCGTCGATTCCAATGTAAAGCGTTTAAGTGGTCGCCGTTAACGCCTCCCCCGTCGTTAGCGGAACACGCTGATTTAATCGGCCGTCGGGTGTCTTGATGTAATACGCTTAAACGGAGATAAGAACTAAGACAATTAACCCTGTGTGGGAATTTCCTCTCTCCCGTTATTGATATCTGTATCCTCCCACTGAATACGCACCGAGAGCATTGTTCCTTTTGTAAGCTTGCCTAGTGCAAGCGTTCGTCGAACAATCGAACGTTACGTTTGTATTACAGTGGTGAGAAGGAGAGAGAATGTGATTGGGGGGGGGGGGAAAATGTAGTGGAGAGAATGGACCGCGGGAAGTATGTATCTGTGTGTGAGGAGAGGCACGGAAACTAGACGTATCGAACGACCGGAGAAAGGTTAGAATGGGAGGGAGACGATACGAGGGATGGTTGTTTGTGGTCCCTTTTGTGTGTACGCCTCCGCGGACGGAGGACGAATCCTTTTATGTTACTCGGATGCTTAGGCTAATGTCTCTTAAGTTTTCTTATTTTCGTCGACGGTATCTCGTCTGTAAGCATGATCTCTTGAAGGATAAACACACGAACATAGGAACACGGTCATATACAGAGAAACACGCGGAACACACGTACACGTGCATACGGACACACGATTCCGTGATTAGGGTATAATATTAATTGATGAATTCCAAACTTACGGAATATCTCCATGAAAAGAGAAAGGGAGAAAATGAGCGAATGAACGAACGACATGGATGGGTGCATGTTTAATTGGAAACGAGAGCCTTCGTATTTATATATATGTATATATGTATGTGTACATATACATATATATGTATATATATACATCGCTACCCTGCCACAAATCGTTGGCGCGTTTATGCTGCAACTATGTTGCAATTTAGCTTATAGTTTTTTAGTCGATTTTTCAAGCGTCACCGATTTTTAAAATACAAACACGACTGACTGCTGGTTAAGTATGGTTGTGAGTGAACAAAAACAAAAAAGAAAGAAAGAAGAGAAGAATGCACGCGTATCCCTGCGTTCGATTCAGGATATCTTCTTCCTCGATCTTCGATTTTTATTTTTAATTTTTTTTTTGTTCTTATTCACTCTTGTAGCTCGTAATAGGAAGGCTGTTAACGCTTGTCCCGACGACGGCGATTCATGTATTTGTTGATTGGTATGGTGATTCAGTTTCGAAAGCGATTATTTGTATATTTGTAAATTGGTGCGAATAGATCGGACCAAGTTCAACGTACGTCTATATGTGTCTTTTATTTCCTTGCTCTCGACAAGTTGCGATACGAACGGTTCTCGAGACGATCGCGAAGACCGATGCATAGAAGATACGTTGCTAACCGTACACGTTTCATTCGATCGTGATCATTTGTATCTCCACGAGTTCGAACCGCTGTTTCCTGTTACGTCGATTGCAATCATTGTCGTTTTCTCTTCCTTTTTTTTAAAAAAAAAAAAAAAAAGGAGTTCAACCGTTTCTGTCTTGCCTCTGCCTATCTTCTGTGCGCAATCCTACATTCGAGATGTTTCTTAGCTGTTTCATCGTGTGCCGCTTTTATTGTGAAGCAAGGAAATACTTGTCATTGAATCCTCTCATTTCTCTGAACGTGTCCGCTTCTGAATGTCAGCGACATTGATAAAAAAAAAACGCATCGTCGTGCTTTTATAGTGAATTTCTCGTGAGACTACTCTCCGAACGTGATTTAGATAATAAAAATGCGATCCACGTGCGTTTCGATGACGATTATTAACGTTACTATTACTATTATCATTTTTATTTCTAGCATGTATTTGTTGCTAAATGATTTACGTAGCTTGTGTTCAAATCGATCATTTTGCCACCTATATGGAATTGGCAGCTCACGTGCATTAACTGATGACAGCGTGCCCATGTATAATGAGTGTGTTTGACGATCGTTATAGACGTTTTGAGAAGAAAAAAAAAGGCAAAAAAAAGGGGGAAAAAGTTTATCGAATTCTAATGAACACGAACCACGTTCGCGCTGATGTCCAGCGGAAAGACTACTTTTTGTAAATAGAAATTATTATTGTGGAGTGGAGAGAAGTACGCACACGGAGACACGAAAAGTTTAAGGGGATTATGTCGGATAATGTCAGGGAGATTGTATCAGCTTCAAATTATATATACATATACATATATACATAAACTATAATAATAATGGCGATTAATAAGCTATATTATTACCACACTAATTACCGTCGTCGCCGATGTGAAAGAAGAAAAAAACCAAACAGCGACCGACTAATTTTACTACCACCGTTAAAACGTGAACGACGCCAGTGAAAAAGCGGATATGTTCTTTTACGATAGAATCGAATGAGAACGAGGAAGCATGGGATCATGATTAATTCGACGTGCTCATACGATTTATAGAGACGATTTTAACGCGAACAAAAAGAACGAAAACAGTACTTCGATACACGCTCGTCCATTTCGCGCGTCTGCAAACCACGACATTGGGGACAGCAAAACAAAAATAGATGTCCGACGACTTTTTGTGCGAGGATAACGCTATATATGTATATTACCGAGAACGATTGTTCACTTTTAACCGTGCTTTTCTTTTGTTATCCATTAGTGAATTTCGTTTTTCTTTACACTTGTGAACACCCGTAATCTAATGGACTATTAAAGACGAAGAAGAAAAAAAAGAAAGATTTAATGTACATAGAAATTAAATTGTTTGAGTACTATTTCCGATCGACTCTGTGTTTACGTGGAGATTCAACGGGAAGCTTAAGGATTATGAGGGAGGAGAGCGGTTTGCGTGTTTGATGTAAAGAAACTTAAACTGGCAGATACACCGGACCATATTAAAAAAAAAGAATTTAAGTGCATTCTGTTGGCAGGATGCAACTTAACGAGACAAGAAACGAAAGTTTTCATTAAATAGTTTCGTCAATAAATGTGCACCTCTCTCTCCATTACATATAAATGTTACATTTTTATCGTACTTGTAAGCTGTGATTGAAATCCTACCTTTCAACTCGTAATCACTGGCTTACAAGCTGTTATTTAACGGTTAGTATATATATATATATACACAAATGACACGAAAACCGTCTGATAAAGCTCATTAAAATAGAACTGAAAAGACATTCGGAGAAGACGCGGAAATTATTTTCTGTAAATATGTGTCGTGCCTACGCACTCAAGAGAAAAAATCTAATCAAATTTTCTGTACATTTTCATTTTGTTTCACGCGACATTGGCTACACCTATCGAACTCGTTACGTCTTCTTTCTTTTTCTACGTAATGCTGTAGAAAACTTGTTTTCAAAATTTTAAGTTATATTAAGACGCAGTATATAGAAGAGAAGAAACTAAGATTCTCGAGCCTTTTATTCTCGCTTCGAAATATCTTTTTATTACATTACAAAAATTAAGAGACCTATGACGTACGCTGCAAAAATTGGCGTGCCTAGGAGAGGTATAAAGTGAAGAAAGTTACAGACTTTCATATAAAATTATACAAAAATACTTTTGTGAGTTCACATTGGAAAACATGTATAAAACCAACACTCTATAAGTAAAAAAATATCGCGTATAGTTTTATTTTACCTTAACTCATATTTTTTGTTTGTTTTAATTCTGCTTTTAACTATCTGCATTGTTTTGGGCCATTTTTAATATTGTTTCAATAGTAACTACATCCCTATGTTTCTCTAACATTTCTACAAACATAGGTTGCTTAAGTAACTTAGAGCTAGAAGAAGCAATAAAATTTAGTATAAGTTGCTTCATTATATTTGTTTTTTGTAAGCTCTTATTTATCTTTTGCTTGTAGCTGCAACAAAATTTGGTTGGCTGATAAATTAGAAATATTACTAACATGTTACACACATGTATAATACCTCTCAATATTTCATGCTGTTGATAGGATTAGTAATTAGTGAACATTTCATTAATAAATGTAGACATGTTTCATTGTATCATATCCTAATATAAATTAACTAATACTTAATCAAATCATATAACAATTGCCATGATATTACCAGCTCTAGTAACAACATAATTTATCGAAAAGCATTGTACATTTACATGTATATTTACATACTTTGCAATTTCAGGGTTTGTTCTTTCCAATCTTTTGTTCCGTATTTCTTCCTGCTCCTTTAGAAACGTTTGGTGTCTAAATAACAAATTCTGACATTGAATCTTTAAGTCCAATTGTTTTTCTAATGTAGCTATAATGATCTTCTGTATTGCCAACATATCATCATTAACTTTAAATAGTTTACGCATACAGGCATAAATTTTTCTGAAACAAAATATTACATTTTTTTGGGTGTTATGTTGTTTACAAGCTCACAGTTACTATGCTTCAAATGTTTAAATGAAATTTCTTACACTTGCTTGTCATGATCTCCTTCTTTGCCTGAGTGAATAGCTTCAATAGCATAAGAGTGAAGGCACAACTTAATGGCTTTGTTATTTATAAGAGAATTTGACACTGCTGTGTGCAATTTTAACACTGTCTTTTCTGTATCTTCTACCGGTTCTTCAATGGTTCCTTCTAAAACAAATAAACAAATTATTCTTACAAGTACAAATTAGATTTTTTCAAAAACTACAGTAGTTTTAAAACATACGAAATTTATGATGTGCTTTAAGCATTAATAACCTGGCGTTTAAATGTTTGAGGGTTTCTCGCATACTCCTGATTCTGTCTTCAATAGGTCTGAAATCATCCACAGAAACAGCTCCGATAGGAAAATTCGAGACATTTTCGTCTAATATTTTGATAGAATTTCTTAGGTTTCGAAATGCTGTCATTTTCAACAAGTTCTCATTTATGAGTATTTCAGTGTTTATAGTACAAACTACTTGATACTACATATTTGTAAAGGTTATATCCTGATTCATATAAATTCATGATAGGGATTATATGACATCGAGGACTTTGCTAGATTTATGTGATTGGTCTGTGTGACAGCAGAGTTGAAATGAGAGTGCTCAGGCTCACACCTCGAAATTCGATATTCCCGGACAAGTGCTGCACCAAGCGGCCAATTCTGGCATAATAGTTGGCGCCGAATGTTAACGTATTTTAACGATTTATATCTCAAAAAATTGCTCCCAATTTGCTCCTTCCGAATTTGAAATTGTTCCCCCAGCACCCACCGTTAATAGTTAATGAGATATTCGCAAAAGAAAAAGTAACAATTTGTTGTTAACAAAATAGGTAGTAAATAACTTTTTTACACATATATTATGGTACCAAAAAATTGCTCTTGATCTGTTTTATAATAATCAATAGTCAGATATCTCAATTACTTTGCTCGTGAGGGTACACTCGCGAGCAAACTCGGCTTCTGCTAGGGGAAAAAGTAGGGTGGAAGAAAAGTCTCCTACCACTTGGTAAATTTATTCCAGATACTGAAATTAATGTTAAATGGAATATTAATTTGGCATAAATATCAGTAATTCCAAATATCAACGATAGGAGCATAGTTGGAGGCCCTTCTCCTGCGTCACCTTTTCCCTTAGCGGAAGCTGAGTTTGTTCGTCAGTGTACATTTCATACACACGGGGTCCCTGGCGTCTACAACGGGGTTCTATGACCCCTCGATCTCACCCACGGAGTCACAGGCGCCTCTTCCGGGGGTTCTATGATCCTACGATCTCACAACACGGGGTTTCTGACGACTCCTGCGGGGGCTCTATGACCCCTCGATCTCACCACACGGAGTCTCTGGCGTCTCCACTGGGGGTTCAACCACCGACTAGGTATAGAATAGACCTATCATCCAATGCTCTTTTTTGTCCCACGTTCGGAGGGCTACGTAACCCTCTTACCATTTCAGTGCCAATACCCGACGTTACTGATAAAGCATGAATTCTGAATATTATTAGCGCAAATGGAGCATTATATATTCCTTTCATAATACGTGTATCCAATATGATTTGGTGGGAATAAAAATATCCGATGCTTCGGTTTAAAAGATGAATATTGTAATACTGATGACATATGATAACTTATTCTAAATTTCAACGTTAATGAACATTTTAGTAATGTTACGTTTCCCACGTTCCCTTTTTATTCGTTTTTATAATTTTTATATCTGATAACGTGATATAAGAATCCTAATACGTACAATCAATTACCTTCTGGTAATTGGTGAGGAAGTAATTAAACAATGAACTTCGACCCAACTAGAGCTTAGCTAGTCAAGCTTTCTTCATGAAAAATAGTTTTGATCTATTATTTAACTGGTAAGATCTATTGTATTGTATTTCATAAACTTTGGCATCATTGTCAAATTGACAGGATATATTTATCATAGATGGCGTTAGAGAACCATTGGAGGATTGAAAACTTCGAGAAGACGAGAGTAAAATTAATACTTTCGATCTATTAGGAAGTGGAATATCACATTTTCGGGGATAGTGTGTGTCTCTTTGTTTCCCTTTCATGATAGTCATTCCCTCCTGAATTAATCTTGGGTGCATATAAGAAAATATATTGAAATATAATTCGGCGGTAAATATTCTATTTCGTTCAAATAGAAAGTTGAGCAAGCAGGAAAGCGACCAATCCTCACGTTCTTCACCAACCGACGCACCAATCACAGGCCTTATACATAACCGAATCAACCAATGACAGCCAGTCAGCCAGCCTAACGGTCATTCGTCTCAGGGAAGCTGGACTGATTAGACGTGTAGTGATCTCGCTCGTGGCGAAGTAAGTATTATTACTTTTCACTTTAAATTATTTATGCTATTAGTATCTACATTACCACTCTATCGTTACATTTGTTTAGTATCTATTCAATTCAATGCAAATAATCGTAAATTATCTCGGTATTGCTGGATAAAGTGAACTGGTTTCACGATTTCTGTTCTCTCCCGGTACCAATTAGTATTTACGCCGTTTTTGTTTAATTTGCAATCTTTAACGATACTCTTTGAGTCAATAATTGTTTCGTTGTAACTCAGTCATTGTTAATTTAGTACAATTACTTGGTATTAACGTTATATTTCTGTTCCAGAATTCCGGCTAGAAAGAACGCGCCAACGATGCCAATCCCATTAGACGCAATTTGGTGGAAAATTGGTGAATTCTGGTGATGTATTACAACAAAATAGTTAATATTCCACTAGATATTTTTATTTTAGTACACTTTTACTGTTTCGACCGTAAACTTGATCGCGATTTTCTGATTAACTGTGCTGAAAGCAAACAAGAATTTTTTCAAGAAATATTTCGCGTTCAAACGCAATTGAAGCATTCAATATGGCTTCTTGTTTGACCATTAGGAAATTTAAACGGGAATGTTCCAGAAGTTTCAATTCGAAATACTCATAGTTTACTGGATCTCGGTCGCGAAATTGTTTAAATTTTAATAATTTTTCGAGGTTATCATTACGATGTCATCGTATTTGTATTTATATACGGTTTCGGGTGTAAGTTTAATTATACATATAGAAGCTGCGTAGTTTACGATGCTCATCGAAGCTTAAGTAAATAACGAAGCTTTAATCCTTGCAACGATTTTCTCAATATTTATAAAATTCGGTACGCGATGTAGACAGAAATAACGAACATTCTTAAACTCTAACGACGAATGTCTTCAATATAATATATTAATAACAAATATATATCAGTAATGGATATAATGTATTGAAACAATGGAGAATTATTTTCGAATATTTTTTAACTATGGTACCTTTGCGTAGTTAAATTCATATTTGAATATTTATCGTCGAATGACAGTATTTTCATGATAAAAACACTTGGTAAAATATAAAAATAAAAGGGCTAAGCCGGTGCACGTGCGCCGTATTGTATTTCTTTCCCCCCTTTTTTTTCCACAGTATTTGGTGGCCGCGTGCAAGGCGGTCGAGTCGAGTCAGTGTTTGTTTACATCGAAGTTTTTTCTGTTTATGCGGAGCGAACTGGCGCCGATTAGGATCTCACCGGAGATGTATTATAGTCTTCGCGGAACTAGAGTCAGTGTTTGTTGCGTACAATCTCAAACTATTTTCAGAGTTTCGGGACACTCTTTGCTTTGTGTGTCGCGAAAGTAGAATCATTTGTTCGCCGGTTGAGATTTTCGGTCGCGATAGTTTTTTATTTTCATTTTTTTTCTACTTGAAAGTACTCGTTCGCGAACGTAGAGTCAGTGCATCACTGAAGTGGATTTTTGGGCGAAGCTCTACAAATAGAGATTGTAAGTATCCTTATATCTTATTACTTACACTGTTCAACTGAAACAGCTAGAGTTTTGACAAGAGGTTATTACGTGTTCTGTTCCTTTGTTTCAGATTTATCAGATGCTGCATAAACGAACACTGCAGAGGATGTCCTTGGACGAAGCTGCACCATTTTTCAAGATTCGTCGAGAGAGAATATTAAAGGGAGCTCTTCAGTCATCGGGTGAGTGAATGCTTTTATTCCTCCAGTTCCCAATCATTTCGTAGGACGATTGGTCCGAAACGGCACGGGCGACTGGTTGTATACGTGCTTTTGGCGAGTACAGTGAAACGCGAGTAATATATGATCTGTTATGTTTCTTAGTTAGGTTAAGGTCTTCTTGTACGCCGCGTTTATTATTAGTAACATAATTCATAACTATTTTGTATTAAAAGAGTATGAGTTGAATATTTAATGTTCGGCTTAAAGGCGAACATCATACAGATGAAATCACATTGGTTATGATGTACTTTCTTTAAGTGTTCAATTTAACATGAGATATTAATCTTGGATATTTCAATAGAGATCATTCTATTGTTTAAATAGTTGTTATTTTTTTTATTAATTGGGTATATATTGAGGACGTGGTAGTATGTTATTTATTTCACTACAAATGATTTTCAATGATGATGATATATGCAATAATTTCAGTATAGTCATTTTAATACAGTCGTTTGGTATCATTTATGAATGTAGAACGAAATACGATCTACGTAAGGAAAATTGCAGAACATAGAAAATACAATATATTCACAATAGTCTATAAATAACGGTCAGCTGATTAAAAGAATAATAATCAACTTGTTAACGTGTGAAATAAATATCAACCAGATCCAACGAAAACCACACCGGTATGTTTATGATAGAGAGGAAAACGTGGTGGTGCCTTCCTGGATAGGCATGTGTAGCAGTTAGCGCAATACCACGAGACGCGACAGCACGTTTCAATCCCGGAACCAGTGTCGCGAGACACAAAGGTATCATTCGTATTTGCAAGTTCCATGAAATAGTGGAACACGTGTATTGGGAATCGCAATAAAGTATCGGTGCATAAAAAGAAGACGTATTAAGTTATGTCACTTGTGCATCGATATGCACGCCCTAGTGAAAAACCGCGTGTTATGGAATAATTTAACACGTTGTGCATGTATGACCATTGAAAAGTGCATTGCGATTTCCAGTTATCGTGGCCGATGTTTTCGTTGCCACTGGCAAAGAACGCATGCGGTTACGTACACGGGTAGAGTACCGAGACGTACTGGTGTGTACTCACGACCATTTTAATGGAGTGTGAGTGTTAAATGCAGGGAAGGTACTACTGTGTTTCACCAGCATGTATTATGTATAAACATATTTGTATGGTAGACGTATATACTCAGAAGGAATGAGTATTTATATTCTGTCCTTTAAAAAAGGGCAGGCTCGGAGGTGTCCATCTACTCTTGCAAGCAGCATTCTTTCCCTCCGGAGGTACCCTGACTATGGGACTTGGATTGACTCGCTCGAGTCAATTTAAGGTCGGTAGTCGGGGATACCCACGAGGCGAAACACGTAATTGCTTGTAGCTCGTGGGCGGCATTTGGACACCTTTGGTATTAGTGTTAATTTTTATGATAGTTACTCTGTTAATAAAATTTTATTTCACTCATTAGTGTGCTAATTATTATTTTCAGCAGTTATACCGTCATTTGTAGATAAATAACGAAATTCATATAACGTAAATTTATTTACTATTTAAGTACAGTACATAATATACCAGTTTACTGTGAAGTAGTTTAAGATTATTATTTGTCTTCATTGATATTTTTAAACCAACACGAATATTCGTGAAGCATCATTGACATTGAATTAGATCAGAAAGGACGTACTATCACGTTGCTCGAAGATAGAAATAAAAATTAAGTAGTGTCTTTTGACTGATGTATGAGACATGACAGACATGTACAAGAAGGCATTTCGCGACGGGTAGTTTTTTGCGTCAAAGTGACATAAAACATAAAAGAAAGATCAGTATATGAAGGTTTGTCATCATCCGCAGATTGTTATAAAGCCGAGTGGGTTTAAAAAATAACTGCGCTGTTCATGGGCGTAGCCAGTTTATCAGTTAGGGGGAGGCAATGTAATTTTGTTCTTTTGGGAAGGGGGTGGGGGCAAAGTCCTATTTTTTTCTTCTAACGTAGTGCAAAACCGACTTTTTTCGTCCATGGACGGCGGGGGGGGGCATGTGCCCATGGCGTTGTTTGAACATTAGTTTCTGCGTTCCGTTTAGTTTAAGTTGTTGAATGTGAATTGTATGTCATTTTAAATTATTGTTATTTATTGTTAAATTATTTGTACAAGGAGAATAGATGTGCAACTTGTGATTCCATCTATCCTCCTTGAGTCTCCATTCGCAGCAATCTCCACGTGGTGAGACGTGGGCAATCATTATTATTTGGTATATAATTGGCAACTATAATCACTTACAAGTTGGCGAACTATAAAGCAAATAATATGAGCCAATTGGTTGCGAGCTTTTGCTCCTTTTGATCAATTGATTCTTGTTAGTTTCTTTACTGGCTAGATGCAAGTGGTTAGAATTTCTTGTTCTGTATATAATCTGTTCGCACCACCACAGACGAGGCATAACTGATAAGAAAAACCATGCTCGAAGATTCGTATTTTGTAGGGGAACTGTTAAGGAATGTGGCTATATTTCTGTTCAAATTTTCAACTTGTCGAGTGATACGTTGGAGTGAGGGGCGTTCCTAGTGATCAATAAACGGACACTCAATTATTGGGCTTGTACTGTAATTCACGAATTCACCGTTCTCATAACGTAGAGGGCAGCAAAAAATCTCCGACTGTTTGCACGATCGGTATTTTAGAACATGAGACACAAAGTCCCATAAGATGATAAGTCTATTTTCTATCCCGTCTGTGGTAATACACTGATCTATATACTGATGTATATAGTGATGTATATACTGACGTAATATACTGATGTATATAGATCAGTGAGCTGTATACGGTAGGGGGCCATATTTCCAGAAACTGATCAATTAACGAGCGCCAATTACCTACTGTCCCATGGTCGTATCAGGTATATAGACTCTTCAAGGAGTTTTTTAAGTAGTGCATTCCTCTTTTAAACTGGATTAGTGCATATGTTTGTTCCCGTCAAGTCGTATTTTTCTTAATGACTGCATTCTATTAAATTAATAAGTACCCAATCTTTGTTTTTCAATTTTTCTTAATACAAAGTTGAGTCATTTGTATTACAAATTAAATGAGAAAGAATTAAAGAATATTGACCTGTTAAAAGAACAGCAACTAATAAATTTTTAAGTCAGGATTTTGAGGATAATTATCTCGTGTGCGCGGGAGTACTTTCATTAGGTATTTAGTAAATTAGTGTAGTGAACGGGAAGTACCTGTCACGTTTTTTAACATTCTCCAGAAAATTTGTTAAGATGAAATAAGTAATGTTGCGAATGATAAGTACAAACATCAAGACTTGTACTTTGTTTAGTTCCAGGAATCGTCGGGGGATTAAATTTCTAATGTATCAAAATAAAATATCTATAAAAACGTGTTATGATATCCTTTTATACTTATTATATGTGAACATATTCTTTTGAGTGTCCGTTTCACGACTCAAGGTATATCGTCTAGTTACGGTTCGCTAATTTAAACTTAAGTCAACATCTGAAGATATCTCTTCGTGTGAAGATCATCTGAACATTTGCCTCCGCTTGAAGAACATGAGAAGATTTTTGTTATTGTGAAGATCACATGGAAATTTTTCTTCACGTGACGATCATCATGACGCCCGTGCGAACTTAAAAAATAATTCTTCAAACTAGAGAAATTAATTTTGAGTTCGCAGCCATTAGCTCGGTATTACCTTCAGTTTACAATACTTTACCGAAGATAATACCAATTGCCCGGGTCTCACCATGAGGAGGTTGCTGCGAGTGGAGACCCAAAGAAAGCTAGATGGAACCCAATCCCATCTATGTAAGCGTAGTTACATCGATGGAATCATTAGTTTCATCTACCTCCTTTTTTACAAAGTCTTACAAATAACTTAAAGGTAACTGAAATTTAGACGCTTTAATGTTGATTTCCCTCGGCGGATGGCTTCTTTCTTGAGTCTACCTGAAAATAAAATGAAGATCCCACGGCGGATGATCGATGTCTTCTTTCTTGAACTTATACTAGTCTTATAATCGACTTAACTTAACTTACAACGAACCCATTTAGCTGTATACCGAGCAATTATTACAGACAAAACGAGTGTATATTCTCCGAAGGAGAATATGGTTCATAGAGTCGATGCTCTCGGAAGGAGAGCACCGATTCTCTCTGATGCTAAGTGGCGAGCAATGCCAGTTAAAGTAATAACTACTGGGTATGCATTACAATTATTTTATAATGGGTTTGCAGCCATTCGCTCGGCATTATCCTCGATTTACAAAAATGCAGATCGAGGATAACACCGATTACCAGGTCTCACCACGTGGAGGTTGCTGCAAGTGGAGACCCAAGGAAGATAGATGGAAACACAAGTTCCATCTATCCACCTTTCACAATAATCTTACAACCAACTTACATATCTAAATACGCTTATACTATAAATATCAAAATCCCTCGGAGGATGGCTTCTTTCTTGAGTTTATTGATTTAAAATAAATCAGAATAAAACACATATAATTAAAATGAAACAGAATAAACACATATAATTAAAATAAATCAGATTAAATACATGTAATTAAAATAAATCAGAATAAAACACATAATTAAAATAAATCAGAGTAAATACATATAATTAAAATGAATCAAAATAAAACAGTTAAAAAAAAAACCTGAGTCGAGTTCGGATAATAGAGAGGACCCCTTGAACCCCCCTTGACCAGTGCCCGCCAGTGATCACCAATCGTGGGAAGACCTCGACGAGGTCCGCGGACGCGAGTGAATTGAGGATTTTTCATTGCGCTCTCGTATTAATGGGCTCGCGGCGACCGTGAACTTGCGCGCACTGGTGTGCGGACAGGTGCGTGAACATGGAGTGCACTGGAAACTCGAGCGCGCCGAAATTATTTCTCGATTAATTTATTATTTCTAATAAGGTAATTGTTATAACAATTACATCTCTAAGGAATATTGTTAAACATTCTGTCCGCTGTCTTATAATGCAAATTGTTATTGTTTATAACAAATAGAAATCGAAATATACAGAAATTTTCAAGATATGGACCGTTTTATGAACTTTCACGTGGAATAAATTTTATTTTATTGTAAATTATTAAACAATGGCCGTGTCGTAATGTTGGTGGCAATTTTTAACTAAAATTTGTTTAATTTAAATGTGCCTGGTAACTCTATTCCGATAATCCCCTTCGTCTGAACGTATGCTTCTGCGTTGCGATTTATTTAAGTTGTTGTGTGTGTTCGGTGTGAGCGTATTAATATTTAAGTTGACAGGACTATTCTTATATGTCCTATGTGAAAAACCATATTCCAGCATGACGATTTGAACCATTCTAGATGTATGAGAATTGTGTTCCTTTGTGTTTCATTTGCTTTACCGAAATGATTTTAAACGTTGGTCACGTTTCATTGTTGATGATAAGACGGAGTGCCTTCATGTTGCTTGACTTAAACATGCATCGAAATAAAATCACGAATTGTATTCTTATGACAACCGTTTCAAATGTTTATTTCTACAAACAATGAATTACAACAATGAAATAATGAACTCCTTATTCCATAACAGTTGTTCGGAGAAAACTTAAGTAGGCCAACGATGTTTTGAGGACCTGAAAGAATTTTCGAATATATACATAACAATTTATTGGAATTTTTAGTCAGCCACAAAAACTTACTGTCACGAAAGTATATAAGTTTAAATCAGCTACCCGTCCGGCAGTAATCTTCGCCGGATTACGCGACATGGCGATGATCAAAACGAGACCGCGTACCGTTTCGGTGGGCAAACAGTACCAATCAATCGTAAAACAGAATAGTCCAACATTACTGGTCTGTAATACGCGAAAATAATAATTATTTTACACAGAATTAAACTAACAATTGTATCTAACCGTATGGCTGCGGACCGTTCGTGCCCAGTGAGCGACTAATATCAGACGTTTATAGTGGCTGTTTCGTAGCCAAAGGATTAATAGTTGTGTACGTATAGTAATAAGTTGATCAACTGTTAACTGAAACATACCTTCTCTACCAGAAGCTCACCAATGTAACAGAGTAAGTATATATTGAACGTCAGAGACATCAGTAGTATAAAATACGTAACAAGACTGAGCGTATTGTTGAACTCCCAATCCTGCCGTAGAGGTTATCGTAAAATGAGCGAATTGAAAATTCGAGGAACCGGGTACATTACGTAAAAACACGGTGTGCCTCGAATGACGTTCGCGAAGTGGCGTTGGAGTCAAGATTTAAATACCAATCGTAACATACGATACTTCGCGACATGTGCCAGATTTTTAACAATATTTATCTGCCAAGCTTCTTACAATTTTAATGGATACTTTGCAGTATTATTGCACACTTCGACCATCAGATATGTATTCCGTCCAAAGGTGGTCGTAGATATTCCTGACTCGTATTTACTAGACTTGGTACAATGTGACGCTGTGATACACTCTGCTTAGCCCGTTGTACTGGTTATTCCGTGATAATTTTTCATTCGTCTATAACACGAAGTTGCTAGGCCGAATTTCGTTTTACCAAAGCTCACACAACTACAGACTCCTCTCGATTATAATCCTATAGGTAGAAATACTTCAGAGTCTCATAAATTCGTTTTTCGCCCAAAGTCCGAGCCACGACAATAAAAGTAAAGTGGATGGGCAACAAAGTATGCGCTTGACAGGCTCCACGCTCCCCAACCCCAGTGGTGGGATAAGGCCTGGAGAATAATCGTGTACAACAATAATCGAGAGGAGTATGTAACGGAGTTACCAATGGCGCGAGCGTCTTTCGTGGCACAACGTCCGCAATTTACGAAACAATGAGGCCTAATGGGACCGGAAACGTTGCAATTCAACGCACCGTTATGGTGTAATATTCGAGTAGACATATCAGAAAAGTAGAACCAATGAATTCCACAAAGCATACTTCTTGCAGAAGTCTCTCTATCTTTGTCGAGAATCTGCAATGGGGGCCTCTAATAAACTTTTGTCGTTGAACGATCAGACACACACACACACACACACACGCACGCATGCACGCACGCACGCACACACACACATAGAGAAGATCGACTGGAATGTCATACCTTAAAGTTCGTATATGGTGTTCGACGATCTCTATTAATCGTTGTCCTGGGTCCGTGTTCTTCTTCCGGTCAATGAGGTTCTCCAACCTGGACATGATGATGTTGATCTGACCGCAGACGTGCGTGACGAATAACGCTGCCAATCCACAAGCGCCGACCGCCACGGAATAAATAACGTATCCGCACATAAAGTGCAAGCCGTACACCAGCTCGTAAATGGGAGTTCTTTGCGGGTCGTAGAGACCGCTGTACGCGGGATAAATCACTGGCCTGATCGTGCGATTTTGTTCGTCGACGAACGAGCCGATCGCGTACTGTACGAGCGTGTGGTACATCATACCGCCTGTGTACATGAACACCAGGCAGAGCAAGGTTAGATTTCGGCCCACGTTACCGTACTTCAGCATGGATTCGCGATCTCCTCCTCGCTCCACCTGCCACATCGTTTCCCAGTGTTCCTCGTTTATTCGGTGGATTCTTGGTGTATTCCACAGGAAATATGGTACGGTAGTAGGATAAACGAGTGTATGAACAAAAAACTTGATTATTGTATTTTTATCTTTTGAATATTGGGTAGTTTCGATCTTTATCCCTTTAGGCAATACGTGTCGCTATAGAGGCCTGCCGTTAAGTGATCTTCTCTGACGAAATGGATTGGACTGCACCATGTAAATCGACTTATCATGTGGCAATTTTATTTTAACGTGTTAGCACAGTTTATCTAAGAATGAATACCAATATTTTTTCATTGGTTAGTAAAACATTTAAAGACGAAATTCACGAATCGAATTTAATATCATTTATTTGTCATAGTGTAATACTATATCGAAAAAATGATGTAAACATGTAGTCGCGACGTTAATACATGTAATAAAACGGCGACTATTGTCATTTCGCGTGAATGGGTACATTCGAATCGGACAACGTATTATTTTAATCCTAAAATTCATGACATATAGTTTAATTCTAAATAATGACATTTCCAAATTAACACGTTCACTGAGATACAGGACACTCGCGGATTTCCGTCATTCAGGGATATTTTAAAATATACGTAACTAACAAACGAAGTATTTACTGTAATTTTGGTATGATTGTTTCTCGCTTTATTTTCTCACGTAGAACCATCTCTTGAAATTAGTCCCACCTGTTGCTGAACACACCGTATCTATACATATGTACATATGTCCCATGCATCTATGTACGTTAATGGAACCATGTCTCTCTGCATTTTCAGTATACCCTAAGAAGGTACATTCATCACTCTTATCACTGTTTAAATAAAACAGATATTCATCGAATTCTTACGGATCAAACGAATAGATACTATCAAAAAGTGTATAGGATCGCAGTGTACGTGTTAATCCATACAAGTTTGGAATTCTCAAAAACGTCCTCAGTCTGAATATCGCGCGATCCTTGGCCTAAGCCACTGCATTTGCTACACACTGAAACTACCAAACGAATTTACCAAACGAATCTACCAATGAATCCAAGCCACTGACCTGTTTCCAGTCGTTCTGCACGCATTCGACGCATTCCCTCAGTCCCGATCTACACGCGGCCAGCACCCAATACTTGAAAAAAGACGTCACGCAGAAGGTCAACAGACCGAGCAGTTTCAATCTCATCACCGTGTCCTTCAGCTCGAACGTGATGTGCAAGGTGCACGGTACTATGGCGAAGAACAGTATCCCGTTGCATAAACCGATCACGAGTTTCGGCAGGTATCGATTGGTGTCGCCTGATCGGATCGGCCAGATGCCGATGGAGCTCAGGATCCATTTGTTGTACCTCAAAATTTGCAGAATGTCCTTCTCGTAGTACGGGTTCCGAGGTTCGCCGCAATTTGGCTCCTGGACTGGAAAAGATTCCATCGTGTTCGCTTGTCAGGAGCTCGAAAACGACTGTCCATCAAGAGAGAGAGACCGTTGGCATTGATTGCACAAGTTCACCGCGCTTGCGCTGCCGCGATCGCAGTCGTGTGCGTGCATCTCGCGGGATGCAATTAGAAATCGATTGGCAACATGTTAAAGTAGTAAACAGCAACTGAATTGCAGAGACGGTGATCATTCTATAGAGTCGTGGCTGGGAAAACTTGTGTCGTCGGGGTAGATCGAAGGAGCAACCTTAGTCGTAAGCGTACGACGATCAACTGTAATTAGTTTGTAGACAGGTGGTCAGTTACATCATTCTACGTTCGTGTTGTGGTTGTCTACCTTTGTAGAGTGTATACTACGGTGTTTAGATTACTAGACTCTGAACAGTTTTCTTATAGTTTTGCTTCATTCAGTAGGTATGTGAGATAATTGTTAATAATACGTTGAATGCCGTGGGGGTCACCGGTAACCCCCACTCTAGGGAGTATATTTTTTTATATTATTAATATTGAACCATAAGGCGGTAAAGTTCTACAACTAAATGCCAAAAGTATGATAACATAGTTGACTTTAATAATTTTATATAACATTTTAATCTTCAACACTCTGAGTAACGAAAATGTCACTTCGACGCTGTGGCTGAAGTGTACGACAATTCTGCGGCATTCAGCGTGTTAAAGATGCCATTCTCATGTAAGAATTTGTGAGTTTGATAGGTCAGTATTAATCGGGAATGATATGTGTACAGATATAATTTCAGATTAATGATCTAGATTTCGAATGTAGACGTTGTACAAAGTCGCATATTATTGAGAGTCGTAGAAATGTACAGAACGGCCATATTGTCGGATGCAGGTACATAAATGTATAACGAAACTATCATATATATCATGAGCCGCATTATTATGGTAACCTTTTTATTTCTTTATTCTACAAATAGCTATGGAAATAATTATACGATGAATTCCTTATTCCATAACGGATGTTCGAAGGAAACTTAAGTAGGCCAGTGATGTTTTAAGGACCTACAAGGACACGGTCGTGTTATCGTTCGATCCAGGAACTTTCCGCCACACACATCGCGATTTAATACAATTATTAATCGACCATAAAGACTCACGTTCCCAAAGGCGGATAAGTTTAAATCAGCTATTTGACCGGCTGTAATTTTCGCTGGATTACCCGACATGGCGATGATCAAGATCAGACAACGTATAGTTTTCGTAGGCAAATGGTACCAATCGATCATAAAGCAGGATATTCCAACGTCACTAGTCTGCAGCACATAAAAATGGTAATTATTTCACAGAAACTTAAATTAACATTTTTATTCAACAGTCGTGTATACACAGTATGTCTATAACTTATTCGAAACTCTCTATCTCAGATAATAATTTTGCCCATCTTTGACACAGAGGTGAAGCAGATCTCCACAAATCTATTCATACATTGGTTGACTGTGTCCAAGCCTTGTATTGATGCTGACGGAACATATTTTACATAAAATGAACGATTTTTAGAAATACGGTCGGTGTTTGAATTAATACATTATTTCATAAATTACGTTCATCAATCACGTTATTTTTCAGTCATGCTGTGTATATACTGTTTCTTTGATTAAGTGTGAAATGAGGCGAACCTTTTCCACCAGAAGCTCGCCAATGTAACACAGTATGAATATATTGAATGTCAGAGATATCAGTAGCATAGTGTACGTAAAAAGAGCGATTGGATCGCTGTCGTCCCAACCCTGTCGTATACGTTATTATACAGTGACGAAAACTGAACGAAGACTCGAAAAATTGAGTGCATTTTGGAAAAGTTCTGTACGCGTTGAAAGATGCTCACAGATTACCATACTGTTGTTCAGAAACTGTTCGGTTAGCATGTTGAAACGTTCAATTATTTTTCACTTTAAACGTTATGATTCATCATTGAAAGTGCTGTTAAGTAGTAGAGCTATTGATTTAGTGTGTATATTTTCAATATATATATTCATGTATTTGTATAGGGTGAGTCATGTAAATCCATTCCCTTAAATATCTTCGAATCGTGCCAAACCCTTGTTGCGTAAAGGGCATATAATATTCAAATTTGTTCCTTTAAACGGAATTATATGCGTTAATAGCTAGAAATACTGTTTTTGTAGGGAATGACATTAAGACATATACGATTCCATTAAAAAAAAATAAATTTGACCTTCGTATGCCTGCTACGCGTCCACCTACAATAATAGTAATTCCAAAACGAACACATTCTTAAAACTTATCTATTATAGTTTTCTTGAGATAACGTCTGAACATTCAGTACCGAAGAGACTCCGAACACTCATCGATGATTTACTGTATATACATCGTCTGTTTTCCGTTGATTACGGAACAGTGCGCCTAACGAAACCGAAATCGTGAAATTCAGCGTACCGATATAGTACAATATTCGAGTACGCATATCAGGAAAGTGGAACCAGCGAACTCGCAGAAGCATATCTCTTGCAGGAGCGTCTGTATCGTTGCGGAAAATCTGAAACCGGTGGCTGTGATATATATTCGTCGCACGAACGAATCAAAACTCTTGAGATTTCGATTAAAAATGTCGGTACCTTAATGTTCGTATATGGTGTTTGACGATTTCCTTCAATCGCATCCCTGGATCCGTGTTCTCTTTGTGATCAACGAGGTTCTCCAACCTGGACAACATGATGTCGATCTGACCGCAAACGTGCGTGACGAAGATCGCGACCAATCCGCAACCGGAGATTGCCACGGAATAAATCACGTATCCACACATGCATTGCAGAACGCAACTCAGCTGGTAAATGGGAAATCTTTGCGAATCGTACAGACCGCTGTACGGCGGATAAACCAACGGCTTGATCGTGCGATTTTGTTCGTCGACGTACGAGCCGATCATGTATTGTACGACCGTGTGATACATGAAACCGCCTGTGTACATGAACACCAGGCAAAGTAGGGTTAGATTTCGACCCATGTTGCCGTATTTCAGCATCAATTTCCGATCCCCTGCACAGTCCACCTGCCACATCGTTTTCCCAGTGTTGCCCGTTTACTTATGGTACTCTTTAATCGAAGGCAGGTGGTGGAAAATGGCGAAATTTATGGTTCTTCCGAGATCTGAAATATGAATGGGACATTGTTCTGTATGTTCCAGGGAATTAGGAACGCATGATTCTTTATTTTTATTGAAAATACGACGGGAATGTTGTAAAAAAGAACGAACGCAGAGGAAGGTGCATACAGCGAGAAATTAGAACTTGTTGATATTAAATAATCATAGCCTTTAAACGAGTAGCAAATGAAATGCAAGAATTTGAATGCTGTGTTGCAAATAAAAGTCTATATTTTTATTGTGTGTAAAAAAGCAACGTAAAACGGTATTAATCATGTTCCATAGAAAGCGATGAATTAACGATGGAAGTATTCGGTAAAAGTATGTTTATGATTTTAATATGAAAAAGACAAACGAGATGTCTCGGAGAACCAACATACGAAGATGAGAAAAACTATATACAACGATTCTTCTTCGCGTTATGATAATTTGAAGTCAACAATTTGTCTGATTTGTCGGTCTATGCACATTTTTCTTCATCTGCATTTTTTAGAATTTTGCCAGCGTATTTCCGATAAGTAATTATGTTTTCATAATTCCGTGAAACTTATAGAATAATGTCTCATTGATATTTTCGGCGTCGGTGGAACTATAAATTTGCTGGTGTTCAACCACCTTCCTTTCTAGTTTTTCTTTCTTCATATAAGTATTTACGTAAAAATGTTGTAATGAAAAGGAGGAAGACATAATGCCGTTAATCTTAAAGTTGTTAAACGTAACAATATCTAGATACTGAGAGGGACAAATAAGGATATAACAGCGGTTGATTTCAGACTTTTGATGTGTATAATCGTTACGTTAGAATGTATCGTTCTATCTGAATCTCTAATAACTGTTTATTTCAAGTATCTCAAGTTGCCCGTACGACGTACGGGCTAAACAGCCTGGAATTTTTCACGTTGCCCGTACGACGTACGGACCAAACACTCAATCGGTCAGAATACTCAATTCTAAAGTATACGATACACTTGCACATTACAGACGATTAGGTACTGACATATTTATAGCACATGTAGATACCCGAAACACCAAGAAGTAATGCATTCAAACGCAGTTATTTTTACGTACATTCGCGTGACCCCGTAACATACGAAATAGTTGATTCAACCCCTTCTCTGCTGACACCGTATCTGTACGGTGGCCCACAAAAACTCCACGATCGATGTACAAATGTCGCACGGCACCGAAAGGGTTCATTCCTGTTACGTCGATTTAACCATTAACTCGGTTATCGAGTCGATCATTAATCGAACAATTTTGTAACTGCCGTTATTATCGTTTCATTTTTCAACCAGACAAAAAGGTACCGATTAACCAACTCACCGACCTGTTTCCAATCATCCTGCACGCGTTCGATGCACTCTATGAAGATCAGTCTTCGCGCAACGAGCGCCCAATACTTCGACATAGACAGCATGCAGAAGACCATCAGTCCGGCAAGTTGTAATTGTCGAAGGGAATCATTCAACTCGTACTTCATGTGCAAGCTGCACGGTACCATCGTGACGACCACTACCACGTGCCAGAAACCCATCGCTAGTTTCGACAGATACAGGCTGGTGTCCTTCAACAGAATCGGCCAGATGCCCACAGAGCTTAGTATCCATCTGCAGTGCCTTAAAATACGAAGAATGTCTTTTTCATAGCTCGGATTACGCGGTATTCCGTTATTCTGCTTTTGGACTGGGAAAGACTCCATAGTGCTCGCGTGTCAGGAGCTCAACAACGACTGTTAAGCGAGAGACGGACCGTTGGCATTGATTGCACAAGGTCACCGAGCTTACGCTTCCGCGATCGCCGTCGTGTGCATGCATATCGCCGGATGCAATTACGAATCGATTGGTAACTTGTTAAAGTAGCAAACAGCACAG